TCTCATTTTATAATGAAGAAAACGAGTTCCAGGGAGGCGGAGTCATTTCCCACAGTGACAGGGCTCACGAAGCCAAGGGGAGTGTTGGGTTCTCTTCTCTCCTGCTCAGTTTCCTCTCCATTCCAACACGCTGCCCTTCGTGAATGTTTTCTCTGAGCCAGAAGTGATGTGATCACAGCGGTTCACTTGGAGGGAGGATTTCTGGAATGTTTTTTTCTTTCATTCAGCAAATAGTACTGAGGACCCACCATGAGCACTGTGTGGGCACCAGGGATAACCAGGGAATAGTTCCAAGTCTCTCCCCATGGAGATTACATTTAGGTGAAGAAGATACGTGATAAATAAGCAAGAGAATATATAATGCCAGGAGACGATGTGAGCTGTGAGGAAAAATAAAGCAATGTGAGAGAAGAGAAAGTGAACAAAGGATTGGGTAGAACTGCCCCGGTGGCCCTCTCTGAGGAAGGGACCTGTGAGCAGAGGTCTGGATGGAGCTAAGGCGTTGGTCACGAGACCACATGGGAAAGAACATTTTAGGCAAACCAAAAGGAAAATGCAGAGTCTCTGGAGTCTATAAGGCCAGTGAGACCTTTATTACATTTGCAAATGAGTCTGATTTTGAGATTACAGGCATAGTGTTCAGATTAAGTTATGAGGGTTTTACTCTGTATCAATTGACTAAAATGAAGAACGTTAACTCCCTGTAATTGTAGGAGCTCAGAAAATGTGGCATATCCTTTCTGCTGCAAAGATGCGTGATGAAAAGGAACTACTACCTCAAATCTAGGTTTTGCTTTTAGTCAAGTGACTCAGTCAAAGAGACAGATCCTATAACTGGCAGGACCCACACTGATTCTTGGGAGTGGAGTATTGGCTTTCCACATGGTGACCTAAAGGGAAAATGCCACAGGAGACATTTCTGAAGCCAGCAAACTGTCTCCTAGAATGAGGCTAAGCCCTGGGGTGGGGAGGGGAGCTCCGGGCGCAGCTGCTGTGGGTTTTGTAAACCTGTGCCCTGGGATCTCGAACCCCTAATAAAGAAAAGGCGAGCCCATTTTGACCTTTATAGCCTGTTGCAAAGTCATTGCTGAGCTATTATTTGAGTAGCTTGAGGTAGAATAATGTTCAACTCAGCTTCCTGGAGCTGCATTTGAACTGCAATTAATTGACTGCTGTTAGTTGTCAATTAACATTTATTATCAATTAGTTCATCAAATTGATTAGTTGGCAGGACCTTAAAGTCTAAATGCACTCCTTTCCATTATAAATATGTCTATAAGAGTAAAAGCTACTCACTAATTGATGTCAAACTGGAATTGCTTATGTCGGACTTGACTCTTGTCCATATTGCATTTTAAAATCTTTATCGAATGAATTTGGATAATACATGTAAGGTTCACACTTTCTAAATGTGCATGTTGTAGTTGTTTTGGGTAGCAACAAGTAAATATGGGAGGTGGAAACTTTTATATTAATGTCAAAAGTAATATTAAATAGGACTTATTATTTGTATTCACATGTCTAGAGTGATTTTACTTTGGGAAAAAAGCATTCTGTTTCTCAGTGTTGATGAGATTTTTATACACATTTTAACATTGTCTATATCAGTTTAAACATCATGTGAGTCAACTAATAGGATGTAAGCTTTTAATAGCTATCTAGAGGAAGATAAAATGTGTGTGTATATAATTTGCAACTCTTTCCATTTAAAAGATAAGCATTATCACCCTTCTCCCAAGAAAACTTTTCTAGAATATACCCTGCATTCTAGATCATTCTGCATTCTGTCCATTACCTAAAGACTAATTTAAAGATTTTGAATTTCCTCTTCTATTCCTCCCTTTTGTAAAATAAAAACAAAACAAAACAAAAATACGACAAAAGAGATATACCATCACTTAAAAAGATCAATTCTTTTGTGTGTCAGAAAAAGAATCTTACAGATAACTGTTTAACCATTAGCATAGGGTATTTTGTCTTATATTTTGTGTAACTTGGGATGAAGCATGGAACAAAACTGTAAAATCTATCCCTATCTATTTAACAAAACACAAGATACCTACAAGGGATTATTAATTTTTATTGCCTTTGTGCAAAAAGATGATCCCTGCCTCCTCCCATCCCAAGTTGTGACCTAAATATGGCTGAAAGACACAACATGTGACCTGCTTAGCACTGCCTGCCATGGCCTCGAGCCACAGCAGGAACTCTATTAGAGGGAACGGCACAGATGCTACCAGATGGCCAACATATTGTCCAGAGATGACCCATGTATAATTGCAGAAAGTTCAATACATTCAGGTTTTGAATTTAATTGCATTGACCACCTTACCTACTGCTGCTGCATGCTTTAATTTATTTAAGGTGGAAACATAGTTTAAGAGGGAGTGAGAGAACTCCCACAGTGTTATCTTTCTGCCTTTTGCCAAGCACCAAATGGCCTAAAGATGTGATTCCAGGTGTTCCTGGCTACCTGAGCTATGAGCATTTGTGACATATTTGCTTGGCCTTCATTATGTGGATAGGGAGTTTTGCTTTTTAATCATCTTAGCAGCAGATAAAATTGCACAAATGCACATAAATATGTATTTTCAATATTTTTGGGGGGGAATGATAATGGGCTGTGATTGGATTGGATTGCTGTCGTAGCCTTCATTGAGTTGCTTGCAAAAATGTTGGTTGAATTTAGTTACATTTCCTTCCTCTACCCAACTTTAGCTCTAACAATATGAGCTATTAGTGGGTGATCTAGTCTCAAAGAATTTATATTTTCAATAAGTAATAATACTTGTGGGGGAAATACTACATTTATTTTGCTGCCAATGCATATGTATTGTCAGCTATAGGCTTTAGTTATTATGGATTTTGAGTCTTTTCTCTCTGAGGAAAAATGGCAATTGTATGTTATATAAAGATAGAGAGCTATTGTTTCAGTTTCCTCTTGCAGGCTGTTATTTCTAATGTTTCTGCTAAGCAAATGTAATCACTATGGCATGCGTTATTAATTCAAAATAGCTTCTCAAATGGCTCAAGCTCTGGGATGGCGGCATGTCTGTTGCGATGTCATTTGTCATAATTCTTTGCTCTTATATAGTGCCTTTCCTCCGGGCCACTCACATAACTATATTTGTTTTGTGTCTACACTCAAGACAAAAGACAAATCCTCATCCTGTTAGTACTTTCCAATCTATTGAACCTTTTCATATTTACACTGTAGACCATCTACTGATAGGTCTGATTGGTTTCTCTAGTAGGTCCTAGAAAGACAGGCCATTTGATAATTCATTCAATGATGCTTTCCTGCCATCTGCCATCATTAATTATACTTTTACTGAGTTTTATTTCTTGTTTAAAACCTGAAACCAAATAATTTAGACTAAAAGAAGTACATTTTAAGTGCTTCAGTTAACCTTTAATTTTTAAAATAAGAATGTGATATATATATATATATATATATATATATATATATATATATATATATATATTATTGATTTTACACAGACAGGAATTGAGAGGAATAGAGAGTTAGAAACATCAATGACAGAGAAACATCGACCAGCTGCCTCCTGCACACCCCCCACTGGAGATGTGCCCACAACCAAGGTACGTGCCCTTGACCGGAATCGAACCCGGGACCCTTCAGTCCGCAGGCTGACGCTCTATCCACTGAGCCAAACCGGTTTCGGCAAGAATGTGTTCTTATGAAAAGTGTTAAATGTAGGACATTGTGTTAAAAAAAAACAATAGTATTTATAGAATTAAAAATATTTTCTAAGTTACTGTTTTATGGACTTGCTGATAAGTCTTTCAGGATGTCAAAAACCTGATTGGGGAGTATCCCTTTAAAAGCAGAATGGCAGCTGCTTTCAAAAAATGGAATGCACCCCCAAAACTTGCTGTTTATTCATATTCCAGTTAAAGCTGAAACAAACAACTGAAACTAATCACGCTTAAAGCTGGGTATCGCCTTTGTGAGCTTTATGAGCCTATTTTTCTGAAATTAGAAATTGCCTGAGTGAAATGTTTCTAGCTAAACTGCTTTCTACTGAAGTCATGATTTTTACAGTCAGATAAATGCCCCTTAAGCTCCATTTGTGTAAGCATCAGTGACATCCAGTGGCTAGCAGGCTGATCACAAGTGCATCTCCCTGCAGTGAGAAGGGCCCCGAGTAGGGAGATGGCATTGGCATCCACTCTTTATTTTGATAATTCACTTTGCATTTTGTTTCTTCTCAAGAAAGTTGGTTTTTTTTTGTTGTTTTGTTTTGTTTTGTTTTTATCACACACAGCCCTCTGATTAGGATGGCTAAATATCCTACCAAACTTTGAAATAGCGAAGATGGAAATGAGACTTCAAGATTGGAAATTAAAATGCACATGGGGCTACCTACGAACACACGATTGCTTTGGAAACATCATTAGCATCCACATGAAACACTTAGCTTGAAACTCTGCAGGTGTTATTTAGAAATGACTATTGGGGAGCTTATGGGCTTTCAGCTACACAAAGAGGGCTTGAAAATTATGGCGAGACCTGCTCGCTATGCAGAGTTGGGTGATGTTGCCATTAATGTTTCAAACACATGTGCTTCATAAAATAGTCCACCTTAATTTGAAAAAAAGGCATTACTTGCAATTATGTCAGCTACATAAATTTATTTGCAGACAGTCAATTCTTATTGATCATAACCTGACCTTACAATGACCTTGAAGAAAGGTAGTCTGTGACAGGTATAGATATTGGGATCAATACCAGACTGCAATCGACTATACCTAGTTACTGATAAATGAAGTAAAAAGGTACACTGTTTTCAGAAACAAAGATAATAACAGCTCATTTAGTCAACTGTTTGTAAAGGTTTAATATTGATACACGTGGTTATAATGACATCCTCGGGCACTTTCAAATGGCAGGAAACAATAGGGTGCTGAGTCGCTGAGCACATTAAGCAGAAAGAATCATTACTCTCCAAGTCGAAATAAGAAATTCTGCAATATTTATGTCAACATTGCTGAGAATTGGGGCACTCTCTAAACAGTACACAGGGAGCTCAGGATTCCAACGGCATGGGGCTGCTCTGCTTCAGGTTTCTTCTGAACGTGCCAGGTCTTGTGAAACGAAGCACCCTATTACGTGGGAACAAAGCCTCCAGGACCACACATTGTACGTTAGTACTACCCTCTCTTGCACATTTGCAGCAGAATTAGCTTGCCTATCCACAGGTATAACCAACTGTAATCATGAGGAAGAGAGCATTTGGTCTCAGCACATCTGCTCCACGTTGATGCCTTCCCTCTCCGCTACAGAAAGTTAAAAGAAAGGATGCTAACAAAAATTTCCCCCAATTGTTCTTTTCTCTTCCCTGGGAATTCCACAGAGTGAGCACTTGGCAAGTTATGCAGAACCTAAGTAAATAGAGTCCATTGGCAAAATGGTAACAGGTTGTGCAGCTTAATTGGAGAAGAGAAGTCCAGGAGCCAGCCCGGTGTCTGCTGCACCCAGTTGGTAAATTGTGCCTGTGGTGAGAACAGAGTGATTTTGCAGTCAGCTCAATTTGAGTAACTAGTCAGCCTGCTACTAAGAGCCAAGAAATATGAGGATTTGGTCTCTCTCTCTCTCTCTCTCTCTCTCTCTCTCTCTCTCTCTCTCTCGTTCTCTTTCTCTTTCTCTTTCTCTTTCTCTGTGTGTGTATTTTCTATACTTTTTCCAATGAAAAATATATTTCTATATCTTAGCTTTGTTTATCTTTTGCTAGTATAATTTTAAAAAATTGATCTCAGAATTCTGATTTTGTCCTCTGAAGGGAGAGAAATGCTCAGAGACACGTGTGGCCATTAAAACCTGCAAACAGAAGGAAAAGGCTCTGTTAGCATAGATTCCACTTGTATGTTTCCCCTGAATGTTTACATTTATAAGTTGATCTCTGTAGTTCATCTCCTGGTCACATTTCTCAAACTACATGCTTTTCCACATGGGCTTCCTGCTTCTTATGCTGTGGTGCGGTTTGCTATCTCCTTTTGCCTCTTACGCTCTCATGTAGCTGTTTATTAATAAACCGGTGTTTCCAATACAGGCACTACATCAATAAACCTCCAAGTGGTTCTGTTAGTCAGCATTCTGGGAATCCTATGCTGTATTGAAGAACTGTAAATCTCCATTATTGCTTCCCATAGCACAAATAAAGAATGCCCTCTTATCTCCGAGACATCCTCTGCTAATTTTTAAGGGTGAATGCATATGTTCTCACAGGCTCCTTGAGGTGCTTGAACTTGTGTGTATTAGCAAGTGGAGTGTCACTGCCACTGAAGACGCCCTGAGACACCTATAATCAAAAGTCATGCTAACTTAAGGTGTTTAAGAACCAAATTACTTCAGTTTGCTCTAGTCTTCCCCTTTCCTGAAACCTTTAACTCATCTGGTGGGACAAGCGAATTCTGGACTTCATAATTACCCTGTTCGGCAGCTGTGTTGTTTGATTTGCAGTGTGCTTTCAACTAACACAAAGGAAATATCAGTAATTAGGAAGGTAAGAATAAACTTCTATATATACCTTTTTGGTATCAGAGAGAAGGAATAGTACAATCTTTGTTTATGCCAACTAAAAAACTATGGAAGACAAAGGTGATTACATTTCTCCATGATGGGAAGAAAGGGCTGGGCCAGTGGAAGATGTGGCTTTTTTCTAGTTTCATGATTTTCCCCAAGAGAAAGCACAGTGGAGGCAAGAAGAAAGGAGAGTGTGTACAGTGTGGTGAGCAGCTTGGAAGAATTGTCTGAAACTAATTTGGACTCTGAACCTGGGTTTCCTCACCGAGTGCCTTTGAAAGCTACAAGAGAAAACCAATTTTTTATATCACCAAAAATGCTTTTAATAAAGCAGACTTAGGATTCCTAGGAAAGATGTAGCAGTGCTGGAAACCAATCATTGTCTCACTAATAGAAAGAGGCTGGTCAACCTTGAAGCTCTGAAAGGTCAGAGCCAACCACACCCTATCTAACTGAGACAATAGTAACTGAGGCAACTTCCCCATCTTGTAATCATGTAAATCCTTACTGATATGATAATCCGTTTATTACCTGCCTAAGGGCTATGGATGTTTCCCAAAGCTGCTTAAGGGTACTGGGTGTTTCCCAAAGCTGCTTAAGGGTAATGGGTGTATCCCATAGAGCCTCAATAAAAGGGATAGCGAGGCCAGAGCATAGAGAGTCTTCCCACTAGAGGCTGACTCCTGCCTGGCCCCCCATTTGTCCCAAATTAACTATTTTCTAGTCTCTCTCTTCATTTTAGTGTGTGGCCTCCTCCAGAAACCAGACCCTGAGTGGGCCCTAATGGGTCATGTTAAGGGTTCCCACATAGCAGTATTCCCAAATCACTGATCTCTCTGGGGCTGGTCTCTGTGCATATGGCTTTCTCAGCTCACTCTGCACCAAGCCCTCCCTACTGGTGACCCACAAGCAGCTCTACCACAATTCTCCATGATCCTGCCTTACTGTATCTGCTGCCCTGGCTTCTGGGCTCTGCCGGAGGCTCACCCTTCCTACCTAGATAATAACGAAGTCATTATGGGCATCAGCCTATTCCCCTTCCAGATCACTTTGGCTGCTAGCCTTTTACTTTGTATTCTGATTTCATTTTCGATAGCGTCTCCAGTGAGAACAGGGAGGCCTCAGCTGTTGCAAGGCCATGGGAGTTTTCTAATGCCCAGCTGCCCTCTGCTGACTCCACCTGGGCTGAGACCCCATAGCTGGTCTCTGGCATTTTTTGGGGGGGGGGGCGAGAGGGGGCTAAACGTGTACTGTTCTTCACCAAAATTAGTCTTCAAGGTTCCATTTTAGTTATATGTGCTCCTCTGCCTTCTCAGTGTGTTCTGAGGCCCCTGGAATTTTAGGGTCCACCATAGTGGTTTTCCCTATGGGTCTGCTCTTGGGCAGTCCCCATGTTCCAGATAGTCCCTCAGAGCCTACCTTTGCACTAAAACTCCAATATTTTATTCAGCCAAAGTGATTCTCTATGTTGGGTTGCCTCATGATGAATCCCAGGTGGAGAAATGGATCTATTGGGTTTAAATGACATTCACTTTCAATAGGGATGGGATGATGAGCAACCTCAAAGATTTCCTCAATAGGGAGGAGGTGGAGGGAGGAGATTATTTTAAGGCATTGCCATACTTGAAGGATGCCCTGGTACAGATATATGTAAGATCAGCCATAAGCGGCATGGTAATCCAGGAGGTCTATACATGTCACCACAACTGTGTTCAGAGCAGCAGCCACCACAGAAGGCAGTGGGAGTGGATTTTAACTGAAGGCCAGGCATTCCAGACATGTGCCACTTGATTTAGACCTTGAAACTCACCATATTCCCACTAATATATACGTTCAACAACCTCAACTTGCTGGAAGTGTGTCCTGAATTGTACCTTCTGGTAATTCAAAATCATTATGAGTAAATGGAGTTTCTTTGCTGGAGGCTGTTCACCCTGACAGGGACAAATCATCCTTCTGGTGAGAGACAGAAGATATTGAGGAGAGGTAAACTCTCAATTACACTGCTCACCCTAGTCACGCCAAGCAAGTGGGAATGCCCAGCAGACACAAGGCTTTAGTCTTTCAATAACTATGAATTCTGGGGCTGGAATATCAAATGTTTTAAAACATAAAGAATTTTTTAAAGGCAGATTTTCTACTTATCACTAAATGAAATTGCTCTCCAAAGAATGCCTTGGGTGGATTTTTGTGCTAGATTTTACCTGCTGTAATAAAAATAACTTAGATACATTTTAAAAGATTGCAAAATTGCAAAGCAATAATACGTTACCATATTAATTAATTTTGAATTATAGCTGAACTCATAGAAGTGCATATGACATTCATGGTAATGCCAAATTAATTCTTTATGATCAGTGCTATTGCAATCAATACTAAATGAATTCATAATGATAAGATACTTAAAATAAAGAGTTACCACAAAAACAATAAAAAGACCATCATTATCCAGGCTATAGCACACTAATAAAGTATTAGCCCAATAAGCTGGTGCTATCCATGACAATCAATGGCAGATACTTAATTTATTTCTGCTTGCCCTTGTCTTGCTTTTCCTGGAAGGGCTGTGTAAAAGCATAGCTCTTTGATTCTACTGTAAATTGTATGGAGGAAGAAATACAGTAGTCTTATTATTAAATAATTTTGCTGTAGCATTTACTTTACATCGCACCTCTCTTCCAAAGAACTCAAGGCATATGGTACATACCAATTTACATTCCAAATGGATTTCCTCCTCATGAGAGTCATGTTATCTTTTTAATTCTTTTCTTAACCTCTTCTCTCTCTCCCTCTTTCTTTCTTAGATGACTGTACCATATCTGTCCTCTACAATACATGAAAGAATATATCAATCATGAAGTAAAGAAGCAATAAATATCTTCTGTGCTTCCTCTCTTCCTTCTGTTATAAAAACTATTTTGAGTATTTTTTGTATGTCAGATATATGGGTCTTAGAAAGACATAAAACAAAACAAAACATAATCCTTATCTTTCAGCTTAGATAGAGTCAGGAAAAAGAGTACTGGGCTTGCTATCAGATTTGGGCCACATCTTAGCTCTTTCATTTTACTTGTTGTTTAATCTTCAGCACTGTGACAGAAACATATTCCCTATCAAATTCCTCTTTCTTGGGAACATGGGAAGCTGTACTTCCCAGCATCCTTGCATGTAAATAGGATTGGGTCACTAGTTTGGGCTAATGAATTACATGTAGAAATTATGTGTGTCACTTCTGAGCTATGTCTGGGAAACACTTCTGGGAAATTCTCCAGGTCTCTCTCGCTCAACCCATAAAGTGGCCCTGTGTTGAGGTGGTTGAGCCACAAAATGAAAACAATCTTGACTGCTAAGCCATTGTAAAAAGAAGAGCTTCCACACAGAGGTACCCAACCTGTGGGTAATTGGTGTAATGGGGAAGCAAACTGTGCTTCTTTCTTTCTGTATTGCTTAGTACTGTAGCATTAGCCTAACTTATCCTAACTAACACAGGCATCTAACTTCTCAGAGCTTCTGATTCTTCACCACAAAATGGGGACAAAATATTTCTTAGCTACCTAATGAAGTTACTGAGAAAATCAAATAAGATAGCTAATGTACAACATACAAACTATTTAAGTCAGAATCATGTGCCACTGGCTTTCACTATCTTGGATCACAGAATTATAACTCCAACATTTCATGATATTCGTTTGGCCCTAATATCTGACTATCACAATACTAGGAGATGTGGTTTAATAAAGATTTTATAAAGAGAAAGTCATATGTTGA